TGATAATAATATAATATTACCTCAATCGGGTCAAACAGAATTAATAGACATTCAGAGAAAACTCGAAAACTTCGAACTGATTCGAGTTAACCAACACTCTTCTGCTCCGCAAACAGGCGATGGTCATTAGCGAATTCCACAAGTGGAGTTTAATCGTTTATTCTTCAAATCGATCGGATCGAACAGTGGCTTCCAGCCCTTTTCCCGCCCAGTGGGAAACTGGAAAGGGAGAAAGTGAAGTCCGCGCGGAGATTAACCGCGCGATCCACGATAAAACTTCGGAATTAGGAATGGTCAGTTACAAGGGGAAATCGAGAGGAGGCCGCCTATCTCGTTGATTCGTCGCTTCCACGGGTTGCCACCGACTATCAATGGACGGCTCGTGAACCCTCGGCTCTCCTGCACCGTCTTCCCGTTTCTCTGGCTGTCTTCCATCCAACACCGAATTATAGGTTTCCGTGCCCCTCGAGGTAAACATTCGACAAAAAAAGGGATAATCGCGAATTCCTGATTTGCAATCGAAGATCAATGAGTAATGTAACGAGTCCAATTTTTGTTAATTTCGTAATTTCGATTAATTTACTTTTCTTGTCTTTTTGTTGCCTTCGGTCGTTTCCAAGTAAAATGGTTCTGGCGATGAAACGAAGCGGGGCGAGTAATCTTCGTGCAAGAATGTAAACGATGAATTTTTTTTAAATTGGAACTAACTTGAACTTGCACTTGAACGATTAGAAATGACGTGTCTTGACGTATCTCTTGATTCTGGGATGGTAAAATAAAATAAAATAGGAGAGTGTGATTGGTAAGGTGGAATCGATTCGATGTCACTAGAGAGTGGGTGGAGACAGAGTTTACGTAGCAACAAGCACGACTATATTGAGTGCAAAGTGACCTGTTACGAAAATGCAAAATATAATACAAATGCAATGAAAGTTGCGACATAATACAATTCTTGAACGTGATCCTACATCTTTTCTGATACACTGATTTTTCTGTATAAGTTAATGTTTTTCAAACAATTTAGTATCATTGACGAGAAGTGATTTTATAAATTTTCAAATGAATCGAACTCGTATGCATCGAAGATTTACTGTACAATTGATATATTCGTAGCGAATGCTGTCGAAAATATTGCACGAAGTCTTTCGATCCAGCTAATACTAATATTAACTTTTGGGCAAAGATGAAGAACCCCGGGAGTTAAGTTTTCGTCAGTTCTTCGACAATAGAAATTTCGATTGTCGCCTCGTTCCAGCGGGACGTATAGATCCATTCCAACATAGTTTCCATCCTTCGTTTTGTCGATGTCCTTCGTGCGACACAATGCTCGTACGCGTCGCCAGTTTATATGGAAATCCGTTATCGCGTTTCACTTCATGAATTCGAACGTTATGAGAGGCAATGAATTTAACGCTGGAGAACACTTAACAGCGAGGGGGTAGGCTTGTCTTCTGTTTTATGTTACCCTCGCACGGTATCGTTTGTTTTGATACTCGTTTCAATTTACAAGTGGCTAAATTACGCCTCGTAGTTTCGTCTGAGTATACATTGCACCGTACTACTTGTGGCTTCGTTGACTTTGGACTTATTCCGACGTCATTTCGTTTTACAGGGAGTGTCTTGCATATTTATGTTGTTCCGTGTTCACAGAACAGTAATTGGAGGGCCGCTCGATTTTTCGTATCATTTTGATTTTTATTCACTCACCAGCTGTGCCTGTATTTGTTTTAATTCACGAAGAGCAACGTTTATAATTTTGTTTCTTGTCAGTCAATTTGCATTAGTAGCAGCGAGTTTTTGAAACGTGTCATTATTCTAATGCGTTTCTTGTACTTCGACATACCGATATGTGCATTACTTTATCTGTATCGTTCTACATTTTTCCGATTACGCAACTTCGTGCATAAAACTGCGAAATTTACGTCGTAGTCTATATACATGAGAAGCTACATTGTGAACGTACATTAGTCCAACGATAAGACATCGGTAGATAATGTGATCAACTTGAAGTGTAGCTGATCCAAGTAAATTCTAGCATAGTCATTTTACGTAAGACCGATGATTCGTAAGAGTTTGTTAAATCCAAGACAAGACACTTGTCAGTAAATACACATGGTTATACATAGAATTTGGAAATGCACCAACCAGTGACTATGTACACTATTGTCCAAAAGTATTTTCAATCATTGATTATTTTCGACAAAAATGTACTTCACATATTTGCACGAAGTTCTGTGACGTTTTTTTTGCCTTTCCTATAAAAATTACTGCAAAGCGAATGTTCTAACTTCGTCGTGAACATGTTCAATTGTCAGAAACATCCGTATCTTTCATATCGCCCATTATTTCGAGTAATTATCGAGAAACTTCGCACATAATGAAAAGTACAAGGTGCAACGCGTGTCGTAACAAATGTCAAGTCATCGTTCCATTTAACTCTGAAGATATTTCCAAATTTTATCGGGGACGATTTCGGAAGTCGATGCACCGAGTCGCAGGTGAGGTCATCTCGGAACTGTCTTCCATTTCGTCCCCGTTTCCTCTAAAATTGATGTGGTTTCGACATCGTTCTATCTAACAATGGCCGTTGTGAAACTCTCGCAATGCTCGGCCAGCCAGTCGGGCCGAGCAATCTCAGGATGATTTTGCAACAGGCCTTGCTCGCGCGTTCGTTCTACTTGCATCCTACCTTACCGGTCGTCTAGGATACTTTCACGTTCCGACAAAAACTCAACCGTCCGTCGTCATCAAGTTGCTTATTGATAATTCGATTTTTTCTCCTAAAAAAAAAAAAAAAAAAAAAAAAAAAATGTAAATAATCATCGAGTTATAGCCTCGGTTTAACACTCGAGATATCATACAATACATGCATGTAACGTTGCCTGGAAGTTTTAGATCGTCTGTTATATTTTTTAGGAAATATCTTCGTGCGGAGACCGCCAAGGAAAAAAAAAACATGATAAGTTAGATTGCTGATATTTTATAATTGAGTAACTTCGAAATGGATAACAGAGGGGAAGAGCATGGTAAGTCATATTTTTATTTATTTTTTTTTTTTTTTTTTTTTTTTTTTATAAGAGAACGTGTAAAATCAATGGTCACCTCTTTCTATTTGATTCTCACATTCTCTCCGTAATTTTTCAGCAATACGTATAAATTACTTGTAGAAGAAATGGCGCTTGCATACTTAATATTTCTTCAGGCACATAAGAACTTCTGAAAATAATAACTGAAAATCAAGACGTTTCTTCGTCTTTTGAACGTTATCAATTAACTTAAACTGTTTTCGATCAGCTGCACTATTCAATATACTTAGTCGCGCGTTTTTATCGACGGTGCACGTGGCACGCATAGGAAGGTGGTTACACAAAGGTGGAAGAAAA